CCTCCCTAAAATTGGGAATAAGCAAACCCGAGAGCACAAAATGATTACAGGTAATCCTCAACTTACAACAGTTCATTTAGTGACCCTTCAAAGTTACCATGGCACTGATGAAAGGGACTTACGACCATTTCAAAGTTCAGATGCTTGGCAGCTGGTTTGTACTTATGACGGTTGCAGCGTCCCCGGGTCAGGGGATTCCCCTTTTACAACCTTCTGACAAGCAAAGTCAGTGGGGAGAAGCCAGATTCACTTAACCATCATGACTAATTTAACCGCTGCAATGATTCACTTAGCGGCTGAAGCAAGAAAGGTCGTAAAATGGGGCAAAACTCACTTTGCAACATAAATTTCAGGCTCAGTTGTGGTCGTTAAAGTCGAGGGCTACCTGTACCTAATAAAGCTTTGCCTTCATCCCAGTGAGAAAGGTAGGATTAATAACTAAAATGAAATATATCTGTGTGAGATCTGCAAAAACCACTCATGAATTCTATCAAATATAGATGTAATAAGTGCACATATTATAAAATGAAAAAAAAAGAGCAATCCACACATTTCTTTTTCCCTTTCGCATGCAAAATTCCCTTCTTACTTTGGGAAACATTCATAAAACATAACTTTCCAAGGAGGAGGGAACCTGAGCTGACAGACTAGTAACACATGTTTACTCCATCTACTTTCTGTTTTATCACATTACTAGCTGGATACCCGTGCTTCGCTACGAAACTATGTGGCGGGCTTAGTTTCTGGTGAGGAAAATAAGGGCAGGGAAAATTCTGCCTGTGCCTACAGGCATCCATCGGAATTCATCTGGCTAGCATCCTGTCAGTGTGTGAGAGAGTTGATGGCTGTTTGGAAATGGAAGCAGTATTTGCTGTGTGAGCAAGAAGAAGACAGCAAGGAGCCTGGGCGTGGCTTAGCTCAACTGTTCTGTACTAAAGCTGCTTGGTGCACTAAAACTGAATCTCCTGTCTTCTGCTTATGTTTTCATTTGGAACAGATTTCTTTTCAGGTGGGGAGAGGGTGTAGAACTCCTTAGCATCAGAGCATGTTAATAATGATACACAAAATACTAATGCTCTGATGGTCATTTTGAAAAATCCTTTCTTAGTGAGCCCCTAGAAGCCAAGAGGAACATATGTGCTAAATTTCAAGTTTGTAGGCTTTACAGTTCTGGAGATTTTGTGATGATACATGAGTGGTATTTTGTTTATAGATAGACAGACAGATGATGATAGATAGATAGATAGATAGATAGATAGATAGATAGATAGATAGATAGATAGATAGATAGATAGATGATAGAAAGATAGATTAGGGTTGGTTTTTTTTTACCATTTTTACTGGACCTATTTCTGACTTAATTAACATTGCCTGGATGAGATGATAGTGAAGACAAACACAGAGATAATGGATTTTGTGTGGAACTGATAGTTATGGGGAAAAGAAAGGAATGTCACATGCTAGAAAGTAGAATGTTTATAGTTCAGGGTTAAAATGAGGAGCGCTAGGTGCTCTCTGAGCTTGGCTGTTTTCTTGCAGACGTTTTGTTACCCAGCTAGGTAACATCATCAGTGCTAGTCCTGATGACATGACTTAGTTTGGGTAATGAGACGTTTGCAAGAAAACAACCAAGCTCAGAGAGCACCCAAGGACCCCTTAAACAGGCAAGAATTGAAAATCACCTTGTACAAAACAGAACTATAAGTCAAAACAAATTTCCCACCCACCTCCAACAAATTTGAAGCATCCATTTCCAATTATGGCTGAAGAGATTCTTGTGGAATTGGGTGAGAAATGCTATGGTGATTGTGCAGACCGCAAGTGAATGTAACTTTGACTGGGGTTTGCTCAGTGCCATAAGTCTTATAGTTATATTGCTTAGGCCAGAGGTTCCCAACCTGCGGTGCTCGCACCCCCTGGGGGTGCGAGACGATATTCGAGGGGGTGCGAGAAAAGTCCAGGTAAATAATAGGATATTGGCTATATGTTGGCATTTTTATTTATTATGCAATGGATTAACTTTGTTTTCATTTTAGAGTTAAGTATCGTTATTTAGTGGCCGTCACATACACAGCTGAAAAGATTCAATCCTACCATATATTTAACGCGTTCAGTAGTTCCTAAAGTCTAAATTTCAGGGGGTGCGAGGTTCGAGTGAAATTTCTTTAGGGGTGCGGGGTGAAAAAAAGGTTGGGAACCACTGGTTTAGGCAAACCAACCTTGGCATAAAGCAAAAGCTGAATCCACCCAACACATTTTTATTTTTATGTCTTCTCCGCCCACCAAATCGTCCTTCCTATCCTAACCATATTAAGTCCTTCAGAAGTTTGCCAAAGTTTATAAAGAAATAGTCAAGAAGCTGCTACTATAATTCTAGCCTGCCCTCTTTTTGGACCGGGGTTATTTTAGCTGCATTGATCTAACTGAATCGAAAACATGGTACATCTGTATTGTTGATTGGCGAATGTGGCCATTACGACTCAAGTGCTATATTTTAACGTTCGTGTTCGAAACGAGAGTGAGCGAAAGAGAGAGGGGCTTGGGTGTCCTCATTGTTTGGATCTTCTTTTGGCTTTTTGCTATTTTGATTGCATGAATTGCCCAGAGATACACATATGCAAGAAGGGTGGCTGTATAAGTTCAATAAATGACTCAATAATCATATATATATATGATATATATTTGTTTTCTGAGGTTTTCGCGGGTATTTGTATGTGGATCTTTGGTTATTCGGGTTTTCTCCCACGTAAAATTGGAAGTATCTAGGCGATGTTTCAATGAAGTCTCATTCATCATCTTCAGGCTTGTGTCTTCAGCTTTGTGCTTTTCCAAGAAGCACGAAGCCGAAGACACAAGCCTGAAGATGATGAATAAGACTTCATTGAAATGTCACCTAGATACTTCCAATTTTACGTGGAAGAAAACCTGAATACCAAAGATCCACATATGTGTGTGTGTGTGTGTGTGTGTGTGTGTGTGTGTGTGTACTGATTTTCTATGCTTTGCTCCCAGAGCCAATATTCTAAACATCCAATACATGATTATATCAAAGCAGGTGATAACGTTACCATCTTTCAGTTCATGAATGAAAAAGGAGTACAGAATGACACCATCCATGGCCTATTCCACAATTGCTCATTCATACATGCATCATGGCTCATGCCCTTTGAAAACATACCTAGTGCAAAAGACTTGTTGCCAGCTGCCCATATATATATATATTTTACAGCGGTAAGATTTCTCTGAAGTATAGACCCACCTCCAGGTGGGTCTTATGATATGGCTAAAGAAAACTGTACTTCGTTGCTAATTTTTCAGGGGAAAAAACAAAGAGATGACACCAAGTCCCTTCGATCAATTCTCCATACTTTGCATTCACCAGTCTCGTTTGTTGGTACGTTTGAATAAATAATTCTGCAAAAGTTAACAACAGAGTAGTCACTGTGGAAGGAGCCACTCTGGGAATTCAGCCTATTAGGACAAAATAAGAAATATATTTGTCTTGCAACTAGTAGACCAACATTAAAGCTGAAGTAAATTTTAGGTTAAGGTCATACAGTGCTGATTTGACTCACTGATATATTACTCTAATGATAACAATAGCACAGAATGCTTAAATCTCAGGATGTTTACAACTTTGCACAATTACAAAGCTTAACACTAGCTGGTGTAGCTGTGACCTGGTGCCATTTTTGACCTCCGCCTGATTGTAGCCATTTTCTTCAAGGACTCCTCTGTCTAGGTGGATCCAGGTCAGTATTACATAATTTAAACTGGAGAGAGAGAGAGAGAGTTGCTGAATTATTTACAGCCTCAAATGCTGGAGTTAACTATGTTTTGCAATACAGATATGAGATGCCACAATTTTGTCTAATGGCTAGAGAGGGTCGTCCTCCATTTTGAGGAAGAAAAGCTCTGAGGTGTAATAGCCTTTTCTAAATGCTTTGTGTTTCTGACATTAAGCATAGTCCTTACTCTTTATTGTTGACACTTAGGCTTCATTTGATACAACTGTAATGGACAGAGTTCCAAACACTTGAAAATTGAATATTTGATTTCTAACTTTAAAAAAAAAATAGTCAGAAATTAGGTAGCTTAGCATAAGCCATTTTTGGATCATAGTGTGTGCATCACAGTTAGAGCTTGATTAACATCTGCATGTATTATGACTGAGAAGCTGAAATCTGCCATTATCAACACAAGACACCACTGAGATATTGGCATGAATTTTATCATTTTTCAGGGTGCGTAACCAACCGTAGGTTTTTCCCCCCCTAGATTAATATAAACCACGCAGTAAAGTCTCATTGTCAAACGATAAGCCTATCTTTTTAAATATGAGATTGGGCTGTGAATGCCTTTTGAAGCGTGTGGAGAAATTTTTGAATTGTCATAGTTAACCCCTCTTCATCTTGAGATCTTCTGATGACACTCCCCAGAAAGCTACAAAAAGGAATTTCTACAGGTTTCTGGAGGAAACAGAGACTGTTCAAATGTCCATGGAGATTCTCAATCATCCAGGTCATGGCTGTCCCAAAGTGTTTTTCCAAAAGACAGTTGGACTTTCTTAAGTTTTTTTTTTCCTTCTTTCCCTTGAAAACATTTTTCTCCTCATCCAAGAAGCTTCTTCAGTTCTGGACTGAACTCAACAGAACTGAAAAAGCTTCCTGGATGAGACGCAAAATGTTTACAAGGGGGAAAACAAGAAAGTCCAGTTGTCTTTTGGAAAAGCACACTGGGAAGACCATTCAAATGCTGCACTGATATTCCCCCGCCCCCCTAAAACTCATTGTCTGAATGTCCCCCGTAAGACACAATTATTTGATTGGAAGATTCCATTATGAACATCTGTGAGCTCTATAATGATAAGAAAGCCATTCTCAAGATAGTGTCCTCCATTGTATGGGGAACATCTGGAAGGCACCAGAATGGGAAGGCTTATCTTTAAAGATTCATAATTCCAGAATAATATTCTTTCTATAAAAATAGGACGTTTCCACTTTTTTTTCCAAAATAAATAAGCTTTAGTTTATTAAGAGCTGGTGTCAATGCTAAACAAAATACATGTCTTCCAGAAAAGAAACATTCTAGTAAACGCTTCTCTGTTTTTCTTCTTCTTTGATTTACTAAAATACAAGTGGACTTGTTTAAAATACATTATTTCTCTCTCTCTCTTAATTACATTTTTTGCTTTGAATTGTGACCATCATTCTCCTGAAAGAGACAGAAAGGAGTAGGAATATGAATATGAATATCTATATATATATATATTCCTACTCCTTTCTGTCCTTGTGTCTACATATAATGTTTTGGGAGTCTGGCCACAATCTGCAGCTATTCTTGTTTTGAGGGAAAATACTTGACAGTGAATAAAGAAATATATTCATCATATATCTTCTTTCTAATAAATAAAAATAATTTAAAATGCTAGAGACTATACATGACTGTTTTTATTATGTTCATATATAAATGAAATAGTTTCCAAAATACATGGAAGCAAATATTAAAGGCAGACAAACAAAAAAAATCTGTCTACTGTACTTTCCGGCAACCCTTGCTTTTGAGTCACTTCCCCCACCAAAGGTTCAGCATTAAAGAGGAATAAATGTTATATCACCATTCATGAAGTCCGTCAGGTCCTCTCTCTTGCTATTTTTTTAATTATTTTTTTTATTAAAAAGAAAGAAACGCATTGTCCCATCCTAGGAGTCAACATTCGTCTTCGACTTCTCTGATTGGTGGAATCAAGCTGCTTGTAGACTTATATTGGTTGATGTGATTGGCCACGTGAGTGGTCATGGGCTTGATTTGAATGTTTCTGGGATAGGCATTATCCGATTCATCTGTAAACCATTTCTTTTCTGCTAAAGAGTGGAAATATAGAAAGGAAGGAAGGAAGGAAGGGGAGAGGGAGAGAGGGAGAGAAAGAGAGAGACAGAAAGAGAGAGAAAGAGAGAAAGAGAAGCGTCATTCGTGCCATGCCAAAAGCAGTTGAGAAAAAATGCATCTTAGGCTCTGTTGCAAGGTGGTTCAAAGCAATCAAATAGGAAGCGACTTTGAATAATGACTAGCGGCGAAGAGCGGTAGGTTTCATAATAAACCTGAGAACATTGGTTAGGCGAAAGGATGAAAGGCTGGCTTGAAGGCAAAGAGTTGAAAAGAAAGGGCAGGTGGCTGACTTATTTATGGGAGGTGACCAACTTCTGGAAATGTGAGCATTAGTGATGTGCCACTATGAGGAAAGGGCTACACGGTTGAGATTAGAAAAAGGAATGCATTGGCTGCGCTAAAATTTCCCTGTAAAGAAATGAGCTCTTTGGGAATTTTCAACATTGCTGAATATTATAATCTTTTATTTCACTCACTGCTGAGGATTCAGTTATTTGATATCCTTGAACGGCTGAAGTAGAGTTGTTGATACTGGCAACATCTGAAAATGACTGTTTGATGAGCCTGGTTGTGCTCTCATCAGAAAAACAACACGCATGGGGGTTTGTGGGAAACGGCCATGGAAAGCTATTCTTCATCACAATTGAGCAGTAATTTAACTGCACTTCTTAGCATATAGTGGACCATACATATTTATTTGTATCCTGCCTTTATTATTTTTACAGATAATTCAAGGCAGTGAACATATCCCATCCTACCCTACCCTACCTTATCCTATCCTATTCCATTCTTATTCCATATTCTCTTCTGTTCTGTTATCTTTTTATTCCATATTCTGTTCTGTTCTATTCTCTTCTATTTCCATATTCTGTTCTATTCTATCCTATCCCCACATTCTGTTCTATTGTATACTATTGTATTGTATTGCATTGCATTGCATTGCATTGCATTGCATTGCATTCTATTCTATTCTATTCTATTCTATTCTATTCTATTCTATTCTATTCTATTCCATATTCTGTTTTGTTCTATTCCATATTCTGTTCTATTCCATATTCTGTTCTCTTCTCTTCTAATTCTATTCTATTGTCTACTATTCTATTTTATTTCTGTTCTAATCCCATATTCTATTCCATTCCATTCCACTTCATTCCTGGTTCTATTCTATTCATTCCATATTCTGTTCTGTTCTGTTCTATTCTATTCTCTTCTATTCTATTCTATTCTATTCCATATTCTGTTCTGTTCTATTCCATATTCTGTTCTGTTCTGTTCTAATTCTATTCTATTCTATTCTATTGTCTACTATTCTATTCTATTTCTATTCTAATCCCATATTCTATTCCATTCCATTCCACTCCATTCCTTGTTCCATTCTATTCATTCAATATTCTGTTCTATTCTATTCATTCCATATTCTATTCTATTCTGTTCTATTCTGTTCTGTTCTATTCTATTCTATTCTATTCTATTCTATTCTATTCTATTCTATTCTATTCTATTCTATTCTATTCTATTCATTTCATTTCATTTCATTTCATTTCATATTCTATTCTATTCCTGTTCTGTTCTATTATACATATTTGTGTGTCTGTGTGTCTGTCTATCTATTTGGCTGTCTGTCTTGCTCTCTCTTTCCCTCACTCTCTCTCTCTCTCTCTCTCTGTGTGTGTGTGTGTGTAGGAAATGCCTATCTCCATGCATTTTGATGAGAATTTCCACCACCCCC